TATTAAATATCAGCAGAATGCTGCCCTTTTTTATATGGCTGGTTATGTACAGCACAAGATCGATCCGCAGCGTGTAGTTGATACAACAGCATCACAATTAACTACCCAGTGGGCACCCGACGTCAATCCGACGTCGGATTTACGTACGATTTTCATCAGCGATGTCAAAAGACCTATTCCGACGTTGTTCCGATGTCAGTAAAATGACGTCGGGCGATGTCTTTATCTCAACATCCCCTGACGTCGTTTCGATGTATTTTGACATTGTTCCGACATCTTGTAAAAGACGTCCAAAAAACGTCGCAGTACTGACATCGATCCAACGTCGATAAAAAGACGTCGGGCAACGTCATAATATTAACGTACTCCGATGTCTTTTGACGTCTTCCGACGTCAATCCAACGTCCTTAAAACGACGTCGGAACAACGTCGTAAGACATCGCTGATGAAAATTTAATCCAAACCCAACAATATGTGTGCAATTGCGCTCTTCAATAAATATGTGAACTAAGCGTGTTTTTTATTAATGGAAAGAAGTTTGAATAATGGTTGATTAAACATCATGAGGTTTTGTATGATGCACTAGCATAGTTTTTTAACTATTAACATTTTCAAGTATACATTTTTTATAATATATAACTATTCGTTTTAATATTTATATAATATTTAAACAAAATTATTTCTTATCAAAGAAATAATTCCCAAATAGCTACAAGTATAAATTACTAAATAAACACAGTATTTAATATGTCCCTGTGGTGTAGTGGTAAGCGCGAAGGATTTAATAGACCGAGGTTCGATTCCTGCCTGAGGCTACGTTTATTAGTTTTCATAAACACGTTGGATTTACATCGGAATGCCGACGTCGCGCGATGTCAGTTTATCCGACGTCAAATAACATTTCCATTTCCAACGTAAACCCAACGTCGATCCGACGTCGAGATCCGACGTCGCTCGACGTTCGTTCGACGTCGAAATGCCCACTGGGTAGTTCTGAATTTAAAGATTACGTTTCAAATGGTAAATTGCGTTATCCTGGTGATACTCTTATCCAGTTTATTTGTGTTTGTTATCTAAAGTTTAACAGCGTTCCAATGTCTGAAAAACGTTTTCAATGTGTTGTTTATTTAAAGAAATTATTTTTATTCTTGCATTCAACATTAACATTTTATTTAGAAACAGACAGTATAGGTATTGCAAAAGTTATCTCAATAATAACTAACTGTTTTTTGAAAGGTCTTACGACCCTTGATAATATATCTGATATTGTTTCATTAAACATTGAGGACAGAAAAAGAAAGAAACTCAATACTTAGTGGTCTGATTATTTAGTTGACGTTGGTGATATAATTAATAACGTTTTGAAATGTATTTATGGCTTTATATTTATATGGTTTAAAATTTATTTATAATTATATATTTATTATTATGATATGAATATAATATAGTATGATAAGTAGTGATTAATTAGTTTATTAGCATTGTCTTTAAAAATAATTATTTACAGCTAATTTACGGATAATTTACAGTTTCTTTGTGAAAAGTTGTTTTATTTTTAACACTTAATCAACATAATTTAATTTTTGTTTAGAAAATAGTTAAAAATAATTGAGCCATAACATTTTTTTATTAAATTTCTATTCATAATTATATTTTTGTTTAATAATAGAAGTGATTCGCTTTTTTTTTTTATCGGCCCTGTCGTCAAAACTACGTGAAATTAGAGTTTCGCGTCCCGTTGTTTTAGTAGTCCCTGATGTATGTATGTATGTATGTATGTATGTATGTATGTATGTATGTATGTATGTATGTATGTATGTATGTATGTATGTATGTATGTATGTATGTATGTATGTATGTATGTATGTATGTATGTATGTATGTATGTATGTATGTATGTATGTATGTATGTATGTATGTATGTATGTATGTATGTATGTATGTATGTATGTATGTATGTATGTATGTATGTATGTATGTATGTATGTATGTGTGTCTGTATGTATGTATGTATGTATGTATGTGTGTATGTATGTATGTATGTATGTATGTATGTATGTATGTATGAATGTATGTATGTATGTATGTATGTATGTATGTATGTATGTATGTATGTATGTATGTATGTATGTATGTATGTATGTATGTATGTATGTATGTATGTATGTATGTATGTATCCCAGTGGGCACACGACGGAAAAAAGACGTCTTATGTACGTTCACTTAACGTCCGCTCGATTTATTCACAATATGAACTATAATAAGACGTCTTATAACGTCTTTTTCTCGTCCGTTCCGAAAATAAGAAAATTTATCACTTTCAGTTTTGAAAAACCTTTTTATTATGTCTAATGACGCGAAATGTATTTTTAAAATTATTAAAAGGTGTTTTAATAATGGCGCCATTATTAAAAGGTGTTTTAATCGTCATTATTAAAAGGTGTTTTAATAATGGCGATTCTCGTATGAAGAGGTCACTATTACTCTTTAGATAATTGTTAGATAACGTATGTGTTTTATATTTATATATGTATATAGATAAATAAAATATACAAAGATTGTTTATATATTAAAGAAAAACTATATATAACTTTATATGACATATATATGTCGTGACATGTTTTTTTTTACTTTATATGTCATTAAATTTTCTTTATTTTTATATATTTTTCTGTATGTATGTATGTATGTATGTATGTATGTATGTATGTATGTATGTATGTATGTATGTATGTATGTATGTATGTATGTATGTATGTATGTATGTATGTATGTATGTATGTATGTATGTATGTATGTATGTATGTATGTATGTATGTATGTATGTATGTATGTATGTATGTATGTGTGTCTGTATGTATGTATGTATGTATGTATGTATGTATGTATGTATGTATGTATGTGTGTATGTATGTATGTATGTATGTATGTATGTATGTATGTATGTATGTATGTATGTATGTATGTATGTATGTATGTATTAATAAATATATGAATGTATGTATGTATGTATGTATGTATGTATGTATGTATGTATGTATGTATGTATGTATGTATGTATGTATGTATGTATGTATGTATGTATGTATGTATGTATGTATGTATGTATGTATGTATGTATGTATGTATGTATGTATGTATGTATCCCAGTGGGCACACGACGGAAAAAAGACGTCTTATGTACGTTCACTTAACGTCCGCTCGATTTATTCACAATATGAACTATAATAAGACGTCTTATAACGTCTTTTTCTCGTCCGTTCCGAAAATAAGAAAATTTATCACTTTCAGTTTTGAAAAACCTTTTTATTATGTCTAATGACGCGAAATGTAATATTAAAATTATTAAAAGGTGTTTTAATAATGGCGCCATTATTAAAAGGTGTTTTAATCGTCATTATTAAAAGGTGTTTTAATAATGGCGATTCTCGTAAGAAGAGGTCACTATTACTCTTTAGATAATTGTTAGATAACGTATGTGTTTTATATTTATATATGTATATAGATAAATAAAATATACAAAGATTGTTTATATATTAAAGAAAAACTATATATAACTTTATATGACATATATATGTCGTGACATGTTTTTTTTTACTTTATATGTCATTAAATTTTCTTTATTTTTATATATTTTATATTTTTTATGTCATATTAGATATATATAAAAATAATAAAGTTTAGATTGATTAACTAATTTTTTTATTATATTACTGTATGAGTTTAAAATCCTATTTTATTTACTGTCATTTATATTTTAAGTATTATAGTTTTTTTTTTTAAACGTAATGCTTAAAATATAAATGTCAGGAAATAAAATTATAAAATTAAGATTTTATATTCATACAGTAATAATATAATAAAAATCTGTCAATAAATCTAAATTTTCATTATTTTTATATATATGTAATTTTATTTTCTTTGAAGTTAACAGTCAATAACCTAATCCCTGTTACTATATTATAGATGCATGTAACTATATTATATATCATAGTATGATATATATGACAATATGATATATATGATATATATGAATCGATTCATATATAATATAGTTACATACATATATAATATAGTAACAAGATATAACAGTAAAAAAAATTATGTGTACTACTAATAATAATCGAAAGTACTTTAAGTTACAGGAAAGTTCGAGTTATCTGAGGTTTGAGATATTGGGAGTTTACTGTATTCTTATGATTATTGTTTTTACATTCCATCTACATAGAATTTTGAATTTTATGCTGAAAGTTGCACTTTTTTATATATATATATTTTTTAAATTTTAATTTATTATACTTTTGCAACATTTAATAAAAATACGTATGATAAAGCTTTATTAATATATCAATGGTTTAACATTTAGTGCACAAACAAATGAAATAATACATTTATTAATGTTAGAATATGATTGTTTTATATTTTAATGGTGAAAAAATCAAAATTTTACATGATATTTTTAGTAGAAAATTTTTTAAGGATTTCTTGAAAAAATAATGACAAAATTAATAGTTTTTCGTAACTTCAAATGTTATAACTTTGCGAATTCTTATCAAAATGTATTCAATTTGGTATAAAAACAAAGATATGAAAAAGACAAGGCACCTATAACACCCAGTAATATGTTACAAATGTATATTTGTTAATGAAAGTTTTATGTTTTTTATTGAAATTTTGGATTTTTATTTGCTATTTTTTATATTCTAACAGACGATCATTAAATATGATAGATAAATAAGTAGAAAAGAATATAGTAATACATAATACTCTACTCATATATAATACTCTCCTTAAACGTAAATCAAGTTGTTTAAACCGGATATGATGATTAAATGTTGTATCGCCATGGTTTTATCTGTCTACTTTGCTTTTTCAATTTGGTTGCCAGCTTCGACCTAATTCTTGATTTAGAACTATGATTTTGAACTAAAACATTTCCGTGTTGAATAAAATACTGTTTATTCTTAACTGTATTTTTTTTGAGGCTTCACTTATCAAATGTTGGTGGTAATTTTAGTTATGCCACTATGAAAGCGTCGATTGTTAAGTATGTGTTTACTTTTTGTATTTTGTTTTGCTATGCAAATAATTTTTAATAATAATTACTTAATTATTAACTAATAAGTTTTGTTTTGTTAAATTATTTATTATGGTTATTGTTTATCTGTATGCATTACACTATAGAGTATATGTAAATGCATGTGCAATAGCATAGATTGTATTTTTTTATGAATTCACATAAGACATTTTCAAGCACATTGTCAAATCTGCAAACTTAATTATTTTTATCCTTATGTCGAATGGCAACGTTTTGCCATTTCCCATCCCTGAATGTGAAGGAAATGAGTTCTGTAAATAACAGTATTTTATTTAATATTAAATTAAATTTCATCAACAGGTTTGTAACTTTATTAGTATTTTAGCTTTCAAATGTTTTGACCATATAAAGATTAGTTTCCCTCCTTAAATGAGGAGGTTGCAAAATGTACATCATCATAACTTTTGAATGCTAATATGAACTCATTCCCCTCATATTCAGATATAGGAGAGCAAGATTTTTTGGGTATTTTAGTTTTCAAGCACCTATGTATTATTTATAACAAATAATAGATTATAATTTATTTTTTTCATTGTCATTCCAGGTAGACATAAAAAGTTTGAAGTATGCACAAAGCCTGAAAGTGTCAAATATGGAACCTAAAAAAACCTGCCTTTGCCACTGACTGTATAAAGGTTTTTTAAGGTAAGAGCTTAAATAAATTAACAGAAAAAAAGTATTATAAGTTATACATTTTTATACAAAAATAGAATAAAAATATATATTTGTAGTTTCAGTTTTTATTGTCACAAATATTAAATATCTGTGACACAGAATACAGATATTGATGTCTGTTTTCTTTAATGTCATTAATGCTTTATCTACTGTTTTCTTTTTGTGCATGACCTAATTTCTTTTCATATCCATATTTTTTTAGGTCTGTTTGTCAAGCGTCAAGTCAGGTTACCTTGCTACTGGTACCATGTAGTACATCCTGCTTAAGCAGGTTGTACGCCATCCATACGACGTTTGGGCATCTGTTTGTAAAATATTGCTGCAAATCTTTTTGAGAGAGCCATTACTATGGAGAACCATCTAAACCATACAAGTGTGGAAACATGGATGTAAATCTATGTAAACGCATTTGTGATATATAATTGTAGAATGTTATATGTTATAAGTTTGGAAATTATATTTCCAAACTTATAACATATAACATTCTACATTTATATTTTATTTTTAAACTGCTTATGATCTGATCTGATTTTATTTTTGTCATTTGTTTATTTAGATTAATGTGAAATAAACTGATGAGTTTATTTAACTTAGCTGGTAAAAAAAAGAGTTTTCGTGAAACAAATTTAATGAAGACAGTTATAGGTATACCTGTTAATGTAATTTATTTTGTATTGTATTTTGTATGTTTAGTTTTGACGAACTTTTAAATACTGCAAACTCACACTTGCAAAACAACTGTGAACTCTTATTTAATCAGTTGCAAAAGTTGACTTTGAAAATTTTGTATAAGATATTATAGCTTATTTATTAGACTGTGTTTTTAGAATAAAGTTCATTCATTTGCTGGCAACATTTTTAAACGTGGTCCAGATCGAAAAAATTTGGTGCCAGAAATAGTCGATAGTGGAAGTGATAGATGCATCGAACCTAATTTGTAATTAATTTCTGTAAATAAATTTCACTTTACTAATTTTTGTGTTGAATTCTTGTGTTTCTAATGGTATTTGAAATTAATAAGTCTAAAAATTAACGTATAAAAAAATACGCACCAAATAAGACCTATTTATGGCATTCCATACCTAATTTTTTTCATTAATTCTAAACTGTAACTTAAACTAAACTCAATTTCTTAGTCCTATCGGGACGTCTTTTTTACGTTCCTCTCAGGACGTCTTTTTCACGTTCTTTCTGGGACGTCTTTAAAACGTTCCACGCAGGACGTCTTTCTGTATTTCCAAATCCAACCAATTTAAGACGTCCGATCGGGACGTCTTAAAGACGTCCTAAAGCCATCTGCGTGCCCACTCCTAGTGGTTACGGAAGTAAAAAAGACGTCTTTTAAACGTTTAAAATACGTCCAAAACGTTCAAAAAACGTTCAGAAAACGTCTAAAACGTGTATAAGACGTTTAAAAGACGTCTTTTTTTACTTCCGTGCCCACTGGGCTGGGATGTATGTATGTATGTATGTATGTAGCTATGTATGTATGTATATACATACACAATAAATATTGTACTTATTGTTATACAACATTATAAGATGAATTGAAAATAATTTGTATGAAATTATGTTTAGTTTTGCTTTTAACTTTGTTTCATACTTTTTGCTTTTAACTTTGTTTCATACATAGTAAAGGTTTATTATCCAAACAGTATTTAAAAATTTTTTCACAATTATTGTTTTTAAAAAACTTTTATTTTTTTTCAAGTTATTAATCCTTTAGCGTCCAGCGTAGCAGATCTGCTACGTAACTTCTGAAACCTTAAATTACTGCCCTGTTAGCATAGTGTTCTGAAAGACCGATTGCAGTATATTTACACCATAGTTTTGTTAATACAAATTGACCTGTTTGGAAATTTAAAGTATAAGAAAAAGTGCATCATACTCTATTTTTAAAAATTGACTGATTTTGTTCAGACAAGGGATTTTTAAAGTATGTATTTTCCTAATTTTTATATACACTGAGATTTTGTTGTTTATTTTCTTGTAAATCGATAGCTAAAGTACGTCTTGTAAGTTTATAAATGAGTTCTCTCATTTATAAACTTACAAGACAAAATGAACTTATATGTTCATTTCAACTAACACAAAATGAACTTATATGTTTCATATATGCTACAATGGGCTTTCAAGTTTATAATATAAACAAACATTTATTGCTTTTGAAAAAAGAATTAAAAAAAGAAAAGATGTGGATAATTTGACTACCATACTAATACCAATTCTAATAATGTTGCTGTTTGTTGGATAGATAAAACAAGGCAGTTACTTTAATTTTTTTTTTTTGTAAAATTATTTGCCTTCAACAAAAAAATTACCATTACAGAATAGCTTATCACAAATATAATCGGCAGGACTTCCAGAAGATCATACGATCTTATCATAATGCTCTTTACAATATCAAACATGATAATAATAACAATAAAATCAAGTTAACAAATAAAAATAAATCAACATAAACTATATACAACTGCGCATTTAAAATACTGGATAAAATGAAAGAAGTTAAAGTATATTTCAAAGAAAAATCAAAATTTGGCAAAACTATTTTATTCCATAAATAAGGATTGCGATAAGAATTAATTAGTTGTTAAAATTTAGTTTGGCAGAGAGGTTCTTGTAGAAATTTTTCATTGCGATGATTGTATTTGTTTATAGGTTTTACATTATAAAGGTTTATAAATACATCAGGAGATAAATGATTTTTACATTTAAACTTGAAGCATAAAATATTATAAACATTTAGTTCGTTTACAATTAAGGCTTTCATTTCTTTCATAAGTGGTTTTGAATTTGAAAAACGATTTACAAAATTAATTAAGCGACCTACGTGTTTCTGATGCTGATAAAGAGATTTAAGTTTAGTTTAGTGCGCGCTTCCCTATACAATATTCACATAATTTAAATGGCAATAGATAAACGAATAATATAATTGTTTTAATAGTTGTTTATTTAACATATGTTGAACTTTATATATAATTCCATTACTTTTAGCAACTTTCAAAGAGATATTATAGATTTGTTGTTTCCAAGATAAGTTTTCGTCTACAAGAACTCCAAGAAGATTTGTAACTTTTTCCTATTTTAGTATATTATTATCGATGAAGAGGTCGGGTCGGTGGTATTTGGTAAACAATTTTTTTGGATAATTGGGTAAAAAAGTGTCCATTTTGTTTTATCAATGTTGAGGGACAATTTGTTTTTCTTAAACCAATATAAGATTTTATTTAATTCTTGTGTCATTATTATCAAAAAGAGTATATTTGTTTTCATGAGATTGGAATAGGTTTGTGTAATTAGCAAAAATTATAGTGTTTAAGTTAGAGACTTTGTTGAGGTCATTTGTGCATATTAAAAATATTAGGGGTTTAACTATGGATTTTTGTGGGACACTACATGTTACAGTCATTAATAAAGGCAAAGAAGAGTCTGTGATATTAACAAACTGATTTCGATTACTAAGATAGCTTTTGAACCAGCTTAGAGTTTTATCTGTTATTACATTCTAATTTTTTAATTAGAATGTAATGATCGACAGTATCAAAAGCTTTAGACAAATTGATGAATACTCCTAGGGTATAATGAGAACTTTTATAAGAATCAAAAAATCTACTTGTTGGTTGGAGAATGGCGTGTTCAGTTAAATAGTTTCTCTGGAAGCCAAATTGATTATTGTATAAAAGTATTGTGTCAACAAAATATTTGTAGACTCTGTTATACATTGTTCTTTCTAGTATTTTAGAGAGAGCCGAAGAACTGAAATAGGACGATAATTTGTAATGTTACAGTGGTCACCTGATTTATAAATAGGAATAATTTTTGCTACTTTTAGAGAGTCTGGAAAGGATCCGTAAGCAAAAGTGGCTTAACGAATTTTAAAGAGTTTATCTTTCAAAACGCCAAAGGAGTCTATAATGACATTTCCATTGATACAGTAAGTCCCTATTGCCTTATTCCGTTTTAATGATTTTAACGCAGCTAAAGTTAAATTAGATGATGTTATAAACTCATCGATTGATTTGTCATTAAGATAAAGAATTTTATTTAACAAGCTTGTTCCGATTGAAGAAAAAAATTTATTAAATTCAAATGCAATTTTAATAAAGTCATTAAATAATTTGATCTAATCTTTATTGCATTTGCCTAGTGGGCACTGGACATAAAAAAGACGTCTTTTGAACGTTCAAAAGACGTCCAAAACGTTCAAAAGACGTCTAAAACGTGTATAAGACGTTTAAAAGACGTCTTTTATCACGTCCGTGCCCACTGGGTGGAAATGATTTTGTACTTTTCTTATTTTTTTCCGTGATCTCTATTGATAGCAGCCAAATACGCTTTGAATTATGTTTATGCTTTGCAAACAAGTCGAAGTAGTAATTTCATTTTGCATTTTTGCAGAGTTTTTTGAAAATATTTTTATAAACATTTAATTATTTTTATGATTGACTGATTTATATTTTAGATATTTAATATACAGTTTTTGTTCCACTTTTAATGATTTTGTAAGTCCTTTAGTTATCCAAAGACATGATACTTCCTTAGCGTTAAAGATTATTTCACGAATAGGGAAGTTTGCGTCATAGATGATCAATGATTTTTACTCCAACAAAACTTGCTATTTAATGCAAACAACTACCGCAATACTGTCGACATTCCTATAATATCGAATGGCAACCCTCTCACTGAGTCCTCTTTTTCACGTCTTCTTCTACAACTGACTTTTCATGGAAACCATATATACCATCTATTGCTAATTTAGCATCTGCTAAGGTTGCTTCTCTTTTTTGTGCTCGCCATTTTGTCACTCCTGATTTCATTCTCTATCTCTACATATCTCTTATTCATCCTTGTATGGAATACAGTTGTTGTATTTAGGCTTTTGAACTTTTGTATTTGTATTGTAATTGAACTTTATAAAAAGTTCATTTCAAGTGAACTCTACAAGTCATTGTCTGTACGACTAAAACTATTGCACCTTCTAACATCCTGTGCAATTCTTGTCTGCTTTTGTAATACTATCTTTCTAACACGACTACTTTTATCTTTCACTCTGATACAGCTTTGTTATTACCAAACTCACTTTACTCTTGGTCCGTAGAGCATGTAATGACGCTCTTTAAGGAGCTGAACTTGTCTTTGCGGACCTTGGTAATGAAGCCTCCACAAGGCAATTAGCTGGCGGAGGATAAATCACAATACCTTTAAGTCTATTTTGGTTTGACTAACAGTACTATTGCGCTTTCTGACATCGTGTGCAACTCCTGTCCGCTTTCTCTGTTGCTATCTTTCTAACACAAATTCTTCTATCTTTCACTCTAATATACCTTTGTTTTTCCTAAACTCACTTAACTCTTGGTCCGTAGGGCAAGTTATGACGCTCCTTAATGAGCTAGGCTTGTCATCGCCGGCCTTAGTAATGTAGCCTCCACAAGAAAATTAGCTTGCAGAGAATCTCTATTTGTCATTGTTTTTTACTTTTATCATTTTTTATTTTATTGCTTATTTTTATATCATGTTTTATCACTTTTTTTAATGAAGTTTTTTTTAAAAGAAAAATACGCTATATAAAAAACATTAAAAATTGATTTAAAATGATAAAATAATTTTATTTATTAAAAAAAACAACCAGGTATTTAAAACTTTTGATTAATAAAATAAAGAAGTTACGCAATTTAAACAAAAGTAATTTTTATGCAATTTTGTCATTTATTTTCTTTTGGCAGATATATGACATAGCAATAACTATAATCTAAAAATCTTGTTCGAAAAAAAGCCTTTTTGACGAACAAATTTAATAACAACAAATTTCAATAAAAAACATTTTATTATAAATAAAATAAAGAAAACAACTCCTTACCAACTTGATTTGCTCATTTAACTGTCTTGTCAGATTATCTATCTTTAATAAAAAATATAAAAATATTTTAAGGCTGACTAAGAACATACAACCCAGGAGAAAGATATTTTTTTTATGTTATATATATACAAAAAAAAAATACTTGTTCACAAATCAATAGTAAATAATTTTTATTTAAAAAATTAGCAACTTTATGACTAAATTTATTATTAAAAATTTTTTTAAATTGAATTTTAAAGATTTCGAAGTTTATGTAGTTTTTAATTTAAAATTATTCAAGTGTAACACGCAAATCGCATGACACGCAAAATCAGAAGAAGAAAGACTGAAAGATTAAAATACTAAGCTTTTTAGCTTTTCAGAAACATTTAAACTTTTAAGATCTTTTAATGACATATTTTTATCACAAACTTTTAAACTTTCAAGATCTTTTTATGAAATCTTTCCATCACAAACTTCTCAACTTTCAAGATCTTTTTATGACATCTTTCCATCACAAACTTTTAAACTTTCAAGATCATTCCATGTACTTTTTTATGTTTTTATTTCACAAACTTTTAAGATCTTTCCGTTTTAGTGTACAATTAGTTAACATAAACATTTTGCTTTCAATACCATTTAACAAGATTTGAGAAAAAAAAACGTACTAATATTGTGATGACCTTAAAATTCTCTGTGTAATAAGCCCTATGTTATAATAAAATATTAAAAAAAATAAAATACAAAAGTTCTTGACCAGTAGGTTATTGACTATTGATGGTGATAAAAATATAATCATCAAAAGCTAAATCTGTCCTAACTCTACAAAAGAAATCTTTTACCTACAAAAAAGTCTGGAAGCAACTCTACACAGCCTTACATTAAGCTTATATCAATGTTACTCACGTCTTGAATTCACTTATTGCAAACAATATTATAAACCAAAGAAGAAAATATGCTTCTCAGAGCGTTATCTAGAAAAGCCAGATTATCACATCTTTTTCTCACCTAAATAAAAGAGGCAATTTAATTTATGTTTTTAAGTTTAATAGAATATTTATTAGCTCAACCCATAAATAGGCCATCCATTATGCTTCTAATCCCAACAACAAAATACTCAAATACATTTAATTTCTTCCCTAATAAAGTAGCTAGCGGATGAAATTTACTCTTACAAACTGTGATTGACTCTTATTATCTTAATGAATTTAAAAACCAACAAACACTTAGGCCAGCACTTTTATTATAAAAATTCACCGAAATGCTTTTACTTCTCAATATCTACTGACAAGAAGCTAAAGGATTGCTGCCCCTTTCAAGCAAGTAAAAAATACATTTACTAAATCTTGCACTTCTGTTTAGTTTAATCTTTGTTTAAATTTTTTTTCTCCCGCAGCTAATCATTTTTACATTCATTTATTATTTTCAATATATATTGCAATACTCATGGTGAAGAGCATCTATCGATAAAATAATTAAACAAATTCATTTTTTTTAAAGTCTTAACTTAACTTGTATATAGTCTGTCAAAACATTACCACTTTTAAAACAATAAACATTTTTTTACAAAAACACGCAAAATCAGAAGACTAAATAAGCCAAAGTATTATAAACATGTATGCAATGTATAAGCAAGGTTTAAGCTTATTAGAATTTCATGATCTTATTTATCTTTCATGACCTGATTGATTCTTTTTTTAATCCAAACTTACTTCCAGTATCATATCATATTTATTCTAATATCGATTCAAGATTACTCTTTAATAAAATCAACTAATAAGATCCAAAAATATAAAGATTTACGCGCAGTGAAAGATTAAAAAGAATTTTTGGATTTTTAATAAAAGATAAAAATTGCGTGTGAAATTAGGATAAAGCTGAGTTAAGAATGTGAGATAATATAGATAAAAATCAGCAAATAAATAAAAATTAGAAACAAAATTATAAACAAAAAAGAAAAGTTATAATAAATAAAACAAGTTTTTACTTTTTTTTTTTTTATTTTTACTTACTACTTACTGAAAAAATATTAAATTTAATATAAAAATTATTAAAAAATTTTTTTAATTATTAAATTTTGGTATTACTTATATAAATTATAGGCAATTTAAATCTCATTTAAATATTATTGTCATTAAAAACTATTTTAAAAAAATACTGTAACAAGACTGGATAAGTTTTAGCCAAATGGATGGTTAATAAAAAGTAATCCTTCTTGTTTAAATTCTTCAGTTTCTGAAATCTTTGAATACAATTAATTATCAGTTTACTAAACAAGTCGGCTGTATGTGAATTCTCTTACAATAAAAGTATTGCAGCTCAATGAAAATACTATTTACCTTTAATGCAATTATAAATTTTTTGTTGCCAAATAGAAATTAGAGATTAACTTACAATATTTATTTGATCTCTGCAAGGCTTTTTCTTTCAAAGTATTGGGCTGCAACTTGCTCCCTTCACTGTTGCAACTTGCCCCTGTGCGGTGTAAGTTTTTTTTTTTTTTCATTTTTGTTTCACTATTGCGGAACAACTAAGTTTTATATTATATTTATCAATTTTGGTTGAGTTCATCACTAAGATCTATTTTATAACCCTGATAAAGATTAAAAAAAAAAAGAAATTTATATGAGATAAATGTAGCTTTTTAAATTTTGATGCAACTAACCCCGGTCTCCCCTACTAAACTTCAAAATAATTTTGAGTTAAAAATTTATTTTGTTTTTATTCACTCGTTTAATGCATTTCAATAAAACTTTTTACTTTAAACCTTGAAAAAAATCAAGAGGTTTTTCCTAAAAAACCTGGCATAACCCAGTGGGCACCCGACGTCAATCCGACGTCGGATTTACGTACGATTTTCATCAGCGATGTCAAAAGACCTATTCCGACGTTGTTCCGATGTCAGTAAAATGACGTCGGGCGATGTCTTTATCTCAACATCCCCTGACGTCGTTTCGATGTATTTTGACATTGTTCCGACATCTTGTAAAAGACGTCCAAAAAACGTCGCAGTACTGACATCGATCCAACGTCGATAAAAAGACGTCGGGCAACGTCATAATATTAACGTACTCCGATGTCTTTTGACGTCTTCCGACGTCAATCCAACGTCCTTAAAACGACGTCGGAACAACGTCGTAAGACATCGCTGATGAAAATTTAATCCAAACCCAACAATATGTGTGCAATTGCGCTCTTCAATAAATATGTGAACTAAGCGTGTTTTTTATTAATGGAAAGAAGTTTGAATAATGGTTGATTAAACATCATGAGGTTTTGTATGATGCACTAGCATAGTTTTTTAACTATTAACATTTTCAAGTATACATTTTTTATAATATATAACTATTCGTTTTAATATTTATATAATATTTAAACAAAATTATTTCTTATCAAAGAAATAATTCCCAAATAGCTACAAGTATAAATTACTAAATAAACACAGTATTTAATATGTCCCTGTGGTGTAGTGGTAAGCGCGAAGGATTTAATAGACCGAGGTTCGATTCCTGCCTGAGGCTACGTTTATTAGTTTTCATAAACACGTTGGATTTACATCGGAATGCCGACGTCGCGCGATGTCAGTTTATCCGACGTCAAATAACATTTCCATTTCCAACGTAAACCCAACGTCGATCCGACGTCGAGATCCGACGTCGCTCGACGTTCGTTCGACGTCGAAATGCCCACTGGGAAGTGCTGTTGGCTCGAAAAGTGATATCTTTCAATCACGCTCATTAATTTAGTAGAGTAAGTACTCTGTGAATTTTTTTTTCTAAAAATTTTTAGTTCTGAGATATGGTCGGTCAAACTTTAGACATTTTAACGCCTTGAAAGCCATTATTGAAATTTTGTGATTTTTAAACTAAACTTAAAAGCAATAAGACAACTGCATCCTAACTTTTTGCATAAGAAAAGCAAGAACTTTCAACAAAAAAACTAAAAAAAAACTGAGAAAAACTCTTCCTTAGTCTAAAATTCAGAGGCTGAAATCACACATTTTTGAATTTGAAGCTTACTTTAAATAAATTTTTCTCAAAGTATAAAATCAAGGTATATTAGTGTTTTTAAAAACGGATTGTCCATAAATTATGCTAAATATAAATATATACGCTAAATATAACTAATAGACAAAACGAAAAGTTCAAAAGTTATCCCAGAGTCTTTAACTAAACCAAAAATAAATTAATCTTTTAAGTTCAATAAAAACTGCCACGCAAAAGAGCAAATAATCTCCTACTGCTATCATTTAAATAAGTTTAGCTTTGCGTAACTTATGGACAATCTTACTTTTTTTAACCACTTTTGTTTAACTTGAAACATTTTTAAAAAAAAATTGTTACAAAAATAAAATAAATTTTTAAATATGTGATTTAAAATAAAACAAATATGTTCACTCAAAGTAAAATTTGGCATGTTTTTAAGTAAAATAACTAAGAATGTCATCGAAGAAAGTAATTGTTAGGTTTTAGCACATAATCTTTTTCGTTTTGTAAAATGCTTTCACTTTATGTTAAATTGTTATCAGTAGTACCTATCGGTTTTACTGATAACAAATCAGGGAAGATTGAAATCTATATTAATGATCAAAAAGTAAGTTGTTAGATTCAAGATTAAGTATTTTATTTCAAGATTAAGTATTTTATTTCAAGATTAAGTATTTGTTAATTAAATCTTGCTTATGGTTGGAAGAAGACTGATGGGACGGTAATTAAACTTTTTTTATTATTATTTTTTTTATTATTATTGTAAATTTCCCATTAAAAATGATTACAAATCTCGTATTTGTAAAATATACACATAGCGGGAGTAAGAAGAAGACAAAATAGTCTTATCGCCAAGCCCCCAATAGTCTGTAAATAATATAGCCATTAAATCTTGTCAAAAAAATGTTGTCAAATTTTTTAAATAAAGATAATAAATTTTAAAATTTATTTTCAATAATAATTAAACACAAAGCAAAAATAAAAAATCAACAAACGAAAAAAATATTCAAAACTATATATAACAGTTTTTAATTAATGCGATTAAGAATTCTTAATTAGGAAATGTAATAAAAAGAATTTAGAATTTTATAAAAAAATTTTTAGTTTTTCATAATCAGAAAATTTAAAAAAATAAAAATTAAAAAGTTTTTAAAAATCTAAGTTTTTAAACTAGTGCAAATAAAATGAAAACACAATATTTTTAAGGCCAATAATTAAATAAAGCTCTAGGAGAGGTCCTTCATGTTTTCATTAATTAAAATTATTTCTTATAGGTTTGATTAAAAAATATTTATGTTTAATAATATATATATGTTTATATTTATAATTATGTTTAATAATATAAAAATATAATAATAGTATATGCTTATAGTTATGTACTTCATAGTTGCTAGCTGTTATAGAAAACTTAGTGGCTTCAAAATGAGATTTAGCTTGAATATAGTTATTCATTGTATCTTTTTTGATTTTATACATAAAAATTACATGATAATATTTATTTTGTAAGCATTAAAAATGATAAGTAAGTAAGAGTAAGAGAAACTTTTATTTTTTTATTTTTTTAGTTATAGCGTTTGAAAAACAACTAATAACTCTTTTTTAGTCAGTTTATTGAAGGTCATTATAGTAATTGTTAGCAGTTAAATATTACTCTTTGCTAAATTTACCAGGTTTAAGTTCCAAGGCTAAATTTGATCCTACACTAACAAAAGTTTGATTAAATGTTTTTGCAATTTTTGATTCATTAAGTATATCAACGCTATTTAAGTTTATTGTTTTTGGAAGGCAAGTATACTTGTTTTTACAAGTATAAAATTTGAATTTTTAATTAAAAAACTATAAAGTATACTTTTTAGTTTTTTAACTAAAAATTTAAATTGTTTTCAATTTTAATATTGTGACTCCATGTTTTTGTGAGGCAAATAGCTTTAAACTCCGTTTTTGTGCTGAGTAAAAAAAATTTAAATTTCTCAATATTTTTTTTAATGCTTCTAATATTTAAATGTAAGATTGAGAATGCATCTATATCTATTTCAGGATTTGAAGTATTTAATTTGTAATGTAATGGACTTATATTTTTAATTACATCGCTACTATTATAAAAACTAAAATTTGAAATTGAATGACTTTCTAGAATTATATTTTTGTTTACTTGAAAAAATTTAAATTGTGAGTTTTGATGAAAATTTATAATTTTATTCATTATAAATAATAAAGTATAAATACCAAAACACCTAATAAAATGAAATGATTAAATTTTAGCGTTCTGATTTTTTGGAAGATCTTTTACTATTAGTTTGTTATAACAATCTAGTACCGTTGTTATCGAGTACCGTTGTTTCTGTTGACTTTCATTTTTTTAAGTAACTTTTTCTGCATCACCATTGTATCGAAGAAATAATTCTTGTTTATATAAATATTCGTTCCCTGGACTTTGTGCGCGTTTTTTAATATTTGAATCTTATCTTTATAAATTAATAACTTCATTACGATAGCTTTCGGATTTTTTTGAATTTATCTTTCCTGCTCTTAACTATTGTTCAATAGTAACTCCTTTAGTGTTGAGATTGTTTTCAAATTCTTTAATGGCTTTCAATTCGGTTTCCTCCCAGTTTTCCGATTCGTTCTCTTTAAGTCCATCAAGTTGTAAATTGTTTCTTCTTTGCCTGCCTTTTAATAGTCTAGTCTTATTTTTTTCTGCTTGATCTATTCCTGTTTTGTTGTGAATTTTTTCCCCTAGGTCATGCACTTTCTTTTCTTTAATATCTTGGGAAAAATTAAGACTCTCTTCAATATCTCTTTGAACACATTCATATTTTTTTAATCTTTCGCTGAAATTTTTAAGTTCTACACTCCTTGATTCGTTTTCATTAAACATTGTTTTATATGATCCTTTTATTAATAATACTTCTGCATTCAAGCCATCAATTCTGTGGTTTGATAATTTTAAGTTTCCGCTGATAAGTTTTAGAATGTCGTTGTACAGTTTTTGAAACATTTCTTTGAATATTTCTCAAACAATACTTATTAAAACTTCTTTATTGTCATTAATGCAAAATTCTATTGATAACTTTTTCGATTTGATCATTTTATGAAATAAACCTTTTTAATCCAGCAAGCGAAAAAATAATAATAAAAATAATAAAGCAAAAAGCAAAAAAATATATATATTTTTTCTCTGCTAAGCAAAACGAGTCCGTTCACCACGATGTTTTGAGTATTATTAAACAAGTCAGATCCCTTTTTAGTATTTTTGAAAACAGGGATAACAGGGAAACAGGAAAATAGGGATAACTGGGATAAAAGGCAAAATAGGCCTTTCCAAGGAAAATAGGGCTCCAGGAAAAACAAGACTCTGATAAGTACTTGTTTAGTGATTTTGAAAGAGACATCTAAGGACTATGACAGGAATTTTGTTCGAAGCACAAGACGTAGAATAGTCTAAGCAGGAAATTACTTTAGATACAAAAGCTGGAGTAATACGAATGTCAAGCAATGGACCAACAAGTTTGTCAGCTATCTCAGGTAGGATGTGATTAGTGAAGTCAAGTGACGAGATTGATGAAAAGTTCTTAGCAAACAGTTCAGCTTTGTCTTAAGATGAGCTAAAAAAATCTGAACCATACAAAAAGAGGTGGAATAACAGATTTGTCTATAAAGACACTGTTAAAGATTTTCTAGAAATCTCGGGAACCTATTTTTTGAAAAGAAATGCAAGATTATGTAACCTGAGAATACCGGGCTTTGGCGTTTCTCAAAACTATTTTATAATGATTTCTAGCAATAGTAAGTTGACGTCTTTGTTCTAGAAAAATATTTTGGTGAAAGATATGGAAGTAATGGTTTATGATTAGAAAATGCAACGGCCTAATGTGAGAAAAATTACGGAAAAGGGTAAGGCTTGACTTAGATTCGATGCCAGCCTGAATCAAAAAACTTAAATGAGAAGCACATTTGATAACAGGAAGACAAAAAGCTTCAACCTAAGAGTCATTTTGAAGAAAATCACAGAAAGAGTCCATGTCAGCTTTAAGGTAGTAGTATTTTATTGCGCTGCTCATGTTGATTTCACAGTTTAACTCTTTATTGGCAAAACACATAAACAGTTAACAGAGACTTGTAACCAAAAATAAAGTAGCCTTCTCTATTGTATTGGCCTTCATGGCCTTGGGAAGGTGAATTGAAATAAAAAACTAAAAAAAACTTGAAAATCAGCAGCCGCAGAAACCAGTTATATGATAACTGAAGCAATATGACTGGAAAATAAAAAGGCATGAAAATCAAAATTGCAGAATTCTTGTCATGTTTATGATTTTCTCTTAACTTAATAGGAAAGTGCTGTAGAGAACTTGTTATTTTTCAAAAACAATTTTCCTCTGCTTTTACAAAGCTATAGAGTGTTTTTGTAGTTCATTTAAATCACTATTTAATAATTGATAGAGTACTCATGCTAAGTTGGTCAAAACGATTAACAAAAACTAAAAATAACTGATGGAAGCATAGCTCACAATCAGCAAGATTGAAAGTTTTAAGGCAAAAGCAACAGCTACGGCGAGGATGAAAATGGAAACTTTTAAATTTGCTTCACAAACAATAATATGGGAACAAATTTTAAAACAAATCTATGCTGTTTCCAAATCTTTGCAAAGTGTTACCCTTACTCTGGATACATGCTCTAAACTTTATTTCTTGGTGATTGTCTTTAATGATTTTGTGATTATCTTCTTGGTGATTCTTGGATTAAATAACACATTTAATTTTAAAAAGCAAGATACTAAATTACTGTTTGGAGACACAGATTATTAAAAAAAAACACAGTACTAAAAAACGCTTCAAGGTGAAAATTAAACCAGAGGAGCCTCAGTTGAATCTGCATGAAGAAATTAATTCAATTATTTTTTAAAAAATCATAAATATTCTTACTGCAAACCTGAAAGAAAGAACTCAATGTTATAAGGAATTGAATAACAAGTTTGTATTTTGACACATCAATCAATAAAAATTAAATGAAATGCATTTCTTAATACTGAGATCATTTTTATTGTTTCTATATGCTTTATGATACCCAAATGATCTGGAAAAAGGTCATTTTTAAAATTAAAATTAACAAAAATTGATTTGTGATCAGTTATGTTACAAAAAATGTTAACTAATTTTGCATTATTATCAAGTAACATAGACAAAGAGAATTGATTTTTATTATTTGGATAACAATTTTATTGATAAAAAATACTGAAAAAATAATATGAAGATAGTAAACAAAAAAGAAAAAAAGTTGAAGTAAAATATTTAATTACATCGAATTAAAATATTTCAATTATAAGGAGGCCTCAAGTTATTGGAATACAGGCAAATATATCGATTTAAATACATATAAATAAGATCTGACCACAACAACGAAAAGTATTTGTTTTATTAAATGTTTTTTTCTTAAGATAAAAATTTAAACTTGAGTTTAGCTATGAAGACTGTCAAAAATACTCTACCAATGTTAATCATAGCATTCTGCCTCCTTGATTAAAAAATTTTTATACTCATATATATACTGAGTAATTATAACTGGTATAACAATATATAAACATAACCTGCATCGAATTTTATTTAAGCTCTAATTTTGTAAGTAATTATCAGATAAAATGAAATAAAAAAATACCCGAATTTCATCTTTAACAATCTTTGCATAAAGATCATCAGTTTTCACATTAGTTGTATTGAAATCCTTAAAACGTATAAAATTGGAAATTAATATGATTATATTATATAAATTAAATAGTTACTCTAAAAATAATACTCCACTTTTAAAAACATATGCAACAATTATAGTTGTTTTCAAAAAATTGAAGATATCATTCCAGTAATGAAGTGTTACTTCTTTTAAATACAGTATGGCTAAAGATAACATTTCCCTTTATTTTATTTTCTATTCAAATTTAAAAAAGAATAATTTTTAAAGATTAAAAGTGGTAAGGTATTTTGAATAAAATATACTGTAGCAAGAAAACTAAAAAAAAATAAGTTAAAAAAAAATTAAACTTTAAATTTAAAATCTAAAAAGATTCCCAAAATTAAAAACGTGAAAATTTTAGAAACGTGGCTATATAGAGGTCAACCATCACATTCAAGATGGGAAACACAATCATAAAAATGATAATAACAGCATATAAGTTTTAAAAGTAATATTGATATTGTAATATAAACTCAAAGTTTATATCCCCAAAACTATCATTAAATATCAAATAAACCAGTATTATAAACATAGTGCTCTAATTAAACCTTCCATTATTTCAAAAATAATTAACAACTTTGAAAAATTCTTAATTTTTAATTCAAGCTTACAAGGATTTATGTCCTTGGTTCTTGAAATTAAAAGGATGAAGCATTAACTCCTTTAACTACTCCAAGACAGGTCAGGTTCTGGATCATCATGATCACCCTGCTATTGGTACCATGTAACCTAGTACTACCTATCCCATGACCTGTTGCTTTATAGAGTGTGCTTTTTTAGCAAAGAATTTTAGAAACAAACTCTGACTTAGGGCCCTTGCTTGAACAAAAGCTTGAGATAAAGTTTCGTTAAACATACTCTTATTGGGCAGATATTAACTGCATCTAGCTACTATCTTTTAGAAGGATTACTTAGCAAAGATTAAAGTAGTAAGCAAAACAATTATGCTAACTAACGTCAAACCTCTTTTTCATCTATTAGCCTGGTGTTGATGTAAATCTGTTTGACATTATTTTATACCTGAGATGATGAATGCTGGATCTTCTTGACTTTAGTAATAGATTTTTGCTTGTACCTCCTTGATAGTGGTAATATAACTCTTCCTGTTATCTCTTAATGAGGGTGCAGATCTAAAACTCAGTTTAATGGTTCTGAGGCCTGTTAAGATTTCCTAAACTCTGCAGTCTCTGCAAAATATCAGAGTATTGATAGTACCATATTGCACATGGATAATTTCCCTTCTAATGCTTTTGGTACGCATTGTCAAAAAAATAAGAAGCCCTTTGTTACGACTTAGGGTTAATTAACGGGACTGGAACAACTGCACAACTAATTGTCTTGTCTCTGATCCTAGCTTGTTTTCAGTTTCTCCTTTTTCTCCTTAAGTGGTTCTGACCATTCAATAGTTTCCATAACTCCTTTATATTTTATTTCTTTTTCGGACTCACAATACTTTTTAGTATCCTAAAGTTGACTGGGATTCTTTTTGTGATTTTCTTTTTAACGGCCCTTGGCTAATGTCTTTCTTCTCTCAGCTGAAAAATGCGCCTCTTACGTATGTAAACTTAAGTAAATTACTAATTAAATAAAAATTCTTACGTAAATGCGCCTTTTCTAGACTTTGGCAGGAATGGAAGTTTTTATTTCTTGTCGTTGGTTGAAAGTCAAGCTTCATTCTACTCCAAGATATTTTCACCCTCTTGTGTAGCTGCTATATCTAATTGTAATTGTTTTTATTATCTTTTTCAAATAAATAACTCTCTTGAAAACAAACTGCTATTTTTTATTACAAGAAATCAATGTAAACTGGTGCTGTCTGACGCTAAGCTTCATTATTCTCAGTTCACTAAATCTTGTATTTTATCTCAGAAGTTAGGCTCTACAGACTTTTGAAAAATCTTTATTAGCGCCGTTAACAATGGTAGATCTTAAAATTCCTTTTCTCATTCATGGGACTGATCTTATTGCTTCTTCCAAGGGTAAGGCTGCAAAGAACTTTTTTACTAATTTAACTCTTAAATCTTATGGCCGTTTTTTTCCTTCCATTCCAATTAAACATGTTAAACCATTGTTAGACATTTAAATCACTCTAACTTTTATTGCTTAAGTAATTTTTCAATTAAACTCTTCTTTAGCTTGTGGTACGGGCAATATTGCTAGTCTTACAAAATTGTTCTCCAGAATATTCTTTAATTTTCTATAAACTATTTAACAAATGCTTGACTTGGATTTTGATCCTCTCGCTCTATGGCATACTTACTGACTGTTGAGATTTTATTGTGCATTAAATGGAAGCGGTGAGGCTAGGGCTATTGCTTTAAACATATCTAAAACTTTCAAAAAAGTTTGGTATGTTGGTCTTCTCCGTATGCTTTCTTCATATGGTATTTCTGGGAATAGTTTTGAAATTATTCAATCATTTCCTTTTAAGCGTTTTGTTAAAGTTATCCTTGAAGGCCGGCACTCTTCTTCATATCCAGTAACTTCTAGGGAAACTTAAGGTTTTATTTGTGGTCCTGTTTTGTTACTCATCTACATTAATAATCTTACCAACAACCTTAAATTTTAAAGTTGCTTTTTTTTGCTGGTGGCTCAACTTTATATTCCTGTCTTAATTAAATTTTTTTCTTTCTCATTATCATGTTTTCCTGAATAATACAGCCAAAAACTTTTCAACTCAATCGTTAAACTGCTATATAACTCAATTTATTTTTCCTTTTAAAACTCCTAACTTAATAGTGGTTGCTTGCAGCATTGCTGGAAGTGAATCAGAATGAAAAATAAAAAACAATCTAGACTAACAGAAGACCTTGAAAATTATTTTTTTAAATAAAATTTACACTCACCTCAGGAGAATATGCATTTAATATTTGTTACAGAAACATTTAAACTTTTTTTTGTGACATATGAAAATCATAAAATCACAAATTACCTCTGATAATTGCTTTAGTTTTGATTTAACATCGTCATTTGCATTAATTTGAGTTTGTTTTTCACTTTTTAAATCTAAATGATTTAAAATAATATAAATTAAATATATATTTCAAAGCATATATATATATATGTATGTATATATATATATATATATATATATATATATATATATATATATATATATATATATATCATACTCATATTTCATCTTATATTATATTATATTAGAATAAAATAAAGAACTTAATAGCAGTACTCATTTGAGCGTATTTGACGCAGTACTCTTGGCAGCCATTGCAACCGAGGTAATAGCGAGAAAGTCAACGAAAGTGTATTCAAATATTTAACTTACGCAAATATCTAAACTACTTCAAATTATGTAATGTTAAAAAATATTAAAACATTTATCAAGTTTTTAGTTTTACTTTTACTTGAAAATCGGATTGCGGCAACATTTCCTTTCGATTTGATCAATAGCTCTTATTTCCGTTTGATAAAGTCTTTAATATGTTATATAGTTTTAAAAGTTTCGTTTAACAATATGCCTGCTCAGCCAAGTGGTTAGGACGCAGGGCTCATAGGGCAGGAAGTCCAGGTTCGATTCCTGCCACCGTTTTTTTTTTTAATTTAATCTTTTTCGATTTTTCTAAGATACAAAGTAAAACGCTTTTGAGGAAAGAAGTTTGTTTTGAAAAAAAGAAAGTTGTTTTGCATTTTAAATAACAAAAATTAAAAAAAAGCTGTTGATTTGAACTTGCCAAGCGCCTTGTGATTCAATATTTATAAAAACTTAGGCTTTTATCAATTTTTTAATTTTTTAATTTTTTATATCGGTGCTCCAAGAAGACCTAACGGTCTTATCACAGAGCACTGCGGATGAGCATTTAATTGAAAGTTCACGCCTCCTTTCTAACCGGTGTCGCAAATATTTCCCCAGAGGTGGGGTTTGAACCACGGATCCTTTATTTCTTAGGCAAGTGCGCTACCATTGCGCCACGGCTGCTCAGGGTTAGGGTTAGTTAGTTAGGGTTAAATCAAAAGTTGATTGCAAACCTATTACGCGTATGGGTCGGCTGCAAATATAAATATCATTATTTTGATTAACCGTGTTAAGCTTTCATTATATATTATTTACTAGTCTGCTTGCTTCTTGCTTGCTTGTGTTTTTTGTTGTTGGTAAACTATTTCTTGTAAAATGAACCAAAACAGATTATAAATGAACTTGATTAAGTATAAGATTTAATTGATTTTAAAGTAGTAAGTTCGCTTTACTGTGACCAACAAAGCTTCGTTATTAGCAAATTTAACACATGCTATTAATTTATATTTTGAAAGAACTAAAATTTTTGTAACGTTTTGGAAAATTGTTTTTAATACTCCTCCTTTTTATCTTTTCAAAAATACTAATTTTTTAATTATTTTCAATTACATTTCATTTTTTTTATAAAAAAATATAATGGCTTTGAATAGGGTAGTTTTCACAAAAATAGATCCGCAAATAATGGCGAGTAATCATTAACAAAAGTTATCAAGAGCATGTAGAATATGTGGAAATCTTTTAGGAAAAGAAATTTTAAAAATTGACAGTAAATTTGATCAAATACATAAGTATATAGAATAAATATATATAAGTAATATATAACTGAATATAAAAAAATCAAAGATTCTCAGTGTATTTATCTACAGAAAATGTGTATATACTGTTATACTTCTCTCAGAAACATCAAAAATAGAGATAACAATGTTTTTAAAGCTCCAAAAGTGGATTAAACTGTCTAATAATCGAATCCAAACTTACTTGAAATATTTTATTATGTTGGAAGACAAATTAATTTATATAAAACTTGCAGGAGAACTTGCATTTAAAATTAAAACTATTGGTAATGTAAAATTTGAAAAATGCATTTTCAAGCATGTCCAATCATGTTTTTTGAATAACATTATTACAAATAATCTTCTAAAATTCTGCAAGATGTAGTTGGAGTACAAGTTTTTTAAGTTATGAATAATTTTATATGTATTTGTAAATATATATATGTGTGTATATATACAACAAAATCAATTATGTATATATACATAATTGATTTTGTTGTATATATACACACATATATATAATTGCATATAATATTATATTTGAAGCCCAATTTTTTTAATGTATGGATTTTTAAATTGATTTGACTTATATTTTGTTATTTTTTAATTTACTTATAGCATCAATCATTGCTTAAATTATGCAATTCGATTCATAAGCTAGTTGTAGTAGTTGAATTTAAAGATACTGGTGTTTACTTACTATTTACCGATGTAAGCCAGAAATTTAAAAAAGTTTTTTTCATATCATTGTAAATGTCATAATTTTATCAATAGTTCATTTCTAAGATAATGTTATTCAGGAACTTAACTAATTTTTTCAATTTTACTCTTGCAGTATGCTTTGTGCATACTGAAAAATTTTGAGGTATAGGGCAGTGGCGCAGTGGTTAAAGCCCTTACTTTAGAAGCAGGAGATCCAGGTTCGAAACGAGCTCTGGACATATTTTAGCGTCACGGTAAGGAAGGAAGCATAAACTTCCTGGCTAAATGCACTTCCGCAGTGCTCTGTGACAAGACAGTTAGGTCTTCTTGGGGCACCTAATTTACAAAAAAAGAACAAATTTTTTAATAAATTGATATTATTAAGTATTATTTTGTCATCATGTATTGTATAATGGAAAATCTTGTCAATTTTTAGATTTAACAATCAAACAACTTATTGAATTTTATAGATTCACACGACCAGATGCTTCTGTAACACCAAAAATGCATTTACTTGAAAACCATGTATATCAGTTCATTGAAAAATGGAAATTAGATACAGGTGTTAATGATGAAAAATAAAGATTAGGAATAGGTGTATATGGTGAATATTTACACGTCAAGTTCACCGATCTTAATAAATAATTCTGGCATATGGGTTGTTGTCAGCTTGAAAGCATTATTAAACAACATTTTATAAAAAATTAACCTAAAGCAAAAGATACAATGCCTAATTTAAAAAAAAATAATAAATTTAAAGAAATTTTTTACGAAGTATTTTTAGTATAAGACAATTGAAATAATATTTATTATAAATTTTTAAAAATATAAACGATAAACAAAATCTAGTTCCTTTTATTACCCACAAAAGTTATTTTACTGAAATTAATACCATTCAAAAAGTTATTTTCCAGATGTTTTTTTAAAACCAGATTTAAAAAGTGGATAAAAAATACTCTTTGAAAAATACAAATTTTTTATAAATTAACAATAGTTCAAAATAAATCTTTTGTCGTTGTATTGTTTAAGAAAATACGTAAATTTAATTTTTCGCAAACATATTGATTCATTTTAGTATATTAAATGTACTTTGGTATTTCTAAAATTAATTTTTTTTTTCACAATAATAAACCACAATAACTTTAAATATTTTATCAAAAAAAAATTGTGAACAAAAACAATTTTTAGCTGAGATACAAAACTTCAGGCATAACTCAACCGTTATGCCCCACTGTTCTAATATGACCCGCTCTAGACTAGATTTTAAAAAATGATAGGTAAAAATGAATAACTTATAATTTTTCCTTATAATATCTAGCCCTTTGAGGTCTTTAAAAAATATTTTTTTATGCCTATCAGGTCCAAATTTTTCTTTAACTTATTGACCTTAAATTTAACAGAAAAAATATGTTTGACAACTTGGGTTCTCTTTGTTTTTTATAAAAAATAGGTTTTAAGTGTAGCACTAAACTGTTTAATTTTTATTCTGCCAAAAATACTTTGACCTAAGTGCAAGCACTAAACAAGAAAGGAAAAACAAAAATATGCAAACACTTGTTTTTATTCACAAGTCAATTACAATATTGACTTTAGATATCCTATTTTAAACGAAAGTCAATCTTTATATGGTAAAGTTCAAAACAATCAGTACCCAGTGGGAACGGATGTAAAAAAGAAGTCTTTTGAAAGTTCAAAAGACGTCCATAACGTGTATAAGACGTCTTTATAATTAGATAAAAAAGAAACCTGATTAACACAACGTTCGATGGATTGTGAATGACATGGCCAATCTGGAACAACCATAGGCTGGTGAAAATATTTTTCTGATTTCATGGGTTGTGAGGTTTGTGGTAAGAAGTGGTTCGTATAATGAATCTTTCCACTTAATTAGATTGGTCAGTTTATCAGCATCTGTGTTTATGCATTGGGTTTTGCGAATTCTTACTGAATCATCTCCAAACTGGGTGTTATCATCTCCTACCCCTCTAATTTCTAGTATCTTTTGTACTTCGAACTTTCGTTCCTCTTCAATTTTGGAACACAAAAGAGTCTGAATAATGCACTCACTAAATGCTAACCATGCAGAGTTTGTTACAATTTTTATTACTATTGCAAAAACCTCTTTTTTTTTTGACATTTTAATTGTTTCAATTGAAATAAAATATGCCTAGGTCTGTCTATCCAGGAATGTTTTACCTTAATTTGAAACCAGCAAGGGAAATACACACCAACTATAAATTCAATACTTAATCGTAGGTTTCTAAGGTTCTTTTCTGTTAAAAAATGAATTGAAATCCACAATCTACAGAAACGGTTTGCTGTAGTAAGCCATCTTGAATGAGAAACATTACCGATTTCAAGGTTTATCAAATTTTCAGATAAAACTCCAGATCTTATTGCTGTTACAATTCTGTATTCGTAAGCTTGATCAGCCAAAAGATCCTTAACTATTTTGTCTGGCAAAGCAATAAGTGGTTCACCTAAAGTTACCATTTCAAAGTTCTTGTTTATTTCCAGATTTGTAACTGTATCCAGAAGTTTTCCTAAATCACCGGACCATTTGTTGTTTGAAAGTATTTTTCTGTCTAATTCAACTATTAGATGTCTGAGGGGCAGTTATTTTATATAAAGAGCGCATATTAGCCAGTTCAACTTTTTATCTAGTTTTAATTTAACAAATTTTATGACAACTTCTTTCCATCCAGTATTAACATTTGTTGAATCACCGCCCAATGCTTAAATCGATTAGTCAACACCATGTTGATTTATCCATTTGA